GTTTTCAGCAATATGTGTAAAAGGTTTTATACGGATCCTCTCTTTCCGCCGTTTAAACCTTTGGACGGTACTTTATATTACTGGTCATATTTTAGTGCCCACTGCCGACCAATACAAAAAAATAACAAATTTTTGGAAATGTTTCGTTGTTTAAATACTGTCTATAGTTTACGCGAGTAGTACACATTTAAATAAAACACATTAACGGTTTAAAACGCGATATATTAGTTAAAATTTATTTGACAATTATTTTTAACTACGGCCCGACGTCTCGGATGCTTTGCAGCAGCGTAGCAATTTTTTACTTTGATGTCAGAGACATCCTCCATCTTTAGCCTCCTCGTGACCACGGCTGCTGCAAAGCATCCGAAACGTCGGTCCAAAGTTAAAAATAATGTTCAAATAAGTTTAACTAATATATCGCGTTTTAAACCGTTAAAGTGTTTTATTTAAAAGTGTAACCATAATTATAGAACGAAGTACATGTTTCGAAATATTCGTATGTTTAAAAATATTTCTTCCATACGTCTGTTTTTCGTCATTCGTTATTTCCACCCGATTTAGCTGCCTGGTTTCAGTACTATTGACCGATACTCGACGCTTCGAACGGATAACTCGATCATCCGTGCTGTTTCTGAATGAGATCGTGATTGGATTGACATTTAGGTAATCATGTATTGACAATCAGAACAAATTATAAATTTAGCACTACATCGCAATTATTGGAGGAACAGAGAGGGGACCGTATTGTGTTGTATTGGGAAAAGTACGTTTGTAATGTCGAAAGTTCGATCCCCGAACGAATCCAAAATTTTTATAGTCATCAAGTTTTCGATGTTGTTCTTTTCAATTTCATTTTTAAACATTATCATCCAATACTTCCATTATAAAGCCGCAGAGTTTGTTTCTTTAAACGCGCTAATCACTTAAATTAAAATTATTTTTGTCCCAAATAGAACATTTATCGAGGAAGGCTTTAGGAGACTGCTAAATAAGGAAAAACCGGGAAATTTTTTTTACCGTTGGCACTATGTTGTGAAAAAAACGGGAAAAAAAAAAGTATATTTTTACAAAGGCTCTCACAGACTGTTGCAAAGCATCCGAAACGTCGGACCGTAGCTAAAATATTTTTCAAATAAGTTCAACTAATATATATCGCGTTTTAAACCGTTAAAGTGTTTTATTTAAATGTTACTTTTTTAACTATTAATAAAAATCTACAGACATATACTTTTATCCGTATGGGGACGATATCGTAACATCTAGTTTATATACGTGTATATACACAAAAGACAAATTAAATAATTTGTAGAGATCGTATTTATTAATTAACAAACACAACCTCTATATTTTTTTAAATAAATATCAAAAAGTCCAGATGCGACCGCGCTCGATTCCTAGAAGAAATTCCAACTTCGTAACAGAATTTCTTTTATTACATCGCTTCTCTTTCCTTACAATCGCATTGTTTCAAAACAATAACTGTCCGTACTTATCTCGGTCTACTTTAGGTATACGTGGCTTCTGTTAATTAACTATTATCTTCTCAGCTAGATTAAGTTCTTTCAGAATTCAATTAAAGACCAGAAGCGTAGCAAAGCTGTTTACAAATAACTCGGTAAATCGGATTTTGGGGGCGTTCAGCTGAGTTTTATGTCGGCATTTTATATCCCTTTATGAAAAAACCCCGATATTATTATCCCTTTCCGGAAAACGGGGATTGGCGTCTTATTTACTGCAAATGCCATCATATATAATAACGCAAAGCTGATAATAAAATAATAAATATATGTATTATTGATATAGACTCGGTCTAATAATAGCAATGTATGGCTAACGATCAACGGGTCGTGGCTTCGATTCCCGCCAGGTACAACGTGTAAATTGTGCAATATATAATTATGTCTGAAACGCGCAGGACTTCGTCTGGAAATCTGGATATTAAATGGGTGGCAGGAATATAGAAATTTCGTCCGGGACACGAACCACCGTCCACAAATGAAAAAGCCGTTTCGGTTTCAAAGTTTCCGTGGATTTCCGAATATCCAAAGATGCTATAGATGCTAGGGTATATCACTAACCATACAAGTGAACCTTGTGCCAAGTCTGTCCTCCTCAATAATTAAAAAAAAAACATTAAACATATATAATATAAAAAGAATTACAAGTAAAATATTAATTTACTAAGCACATGTAAAATAATTTAAAAAACGAAAATATATTGAAATAATTTTCGACTCGGGCAGAACTTGAACCGGCATCGTCAGCGTTCCGTGCTGTTGCTCTACCAATTGAGCAATCAAGTCGTGAAGTTTTCAATACACATAAAATAGTTGCCTCCGAAAAGGTGTCCACTCAGCGATGTTGGGACTGATATCCCAACACTGATATAATTATATATCTTTTGAATGAGAAAAAGACTCAAAAAGGTCTTGAACCGGCATTCGAAGTGTTCTGTGCCGCTACTAACCAATTGAGCTATCATGGCCCATGTTTTTTAATCTAAATAAATCTTTAAAATATTATATTATACATCTAAAAATATTAATGTTTTAAACAATGCAATGTTTATGTAATATCCATTATCTACCTCAACGGTTATCAAACGAGGTATGTATGACCTCAGAATCTCGTCGAGTTCATTACAATATACTCTGATACGTACATTGCTAGATTAAAACGGTTAATTTAGTATTATGGTTTATCGTTCGTTAAGCTCTCAGAGCGTCATAAAATTAGATTGAGTGCCATAAAATGTGGGGTAACAGATTTTAATCACAATAATTTTCATTTAAGACCACGGAGTCGGTACGCCACGTACGAACACATTTATGTGTCCATTTGACGGGCGATAGATACTTAGAATTTATAATCAATAATTAATATAAATATAGCCATTTTTACATTATTAAAAATAATAGACAACATACAAAAGCACATTTTTATTCAGATACAAGAATTTTCTTACGGTTTTAATATAAAAAAAGTAAAATCTCGTTTCATTTACAGGCAAGTAGATGATCAGAATTCTGTGACTACCGACCGAAGCAATTCACTGTGACCCCGGGACAAAAACCCAGGACTTGCTATGCAATGCTAAGCAATGTTTAACCATTTAGCTAGAGAGGCGGTCATTATACGGTTTTAATATAGGCAATATATAATATAACAAATTATAACCCGTCTTTGGCTTTATAATTAATCATTAGAGAGTTGTTTGATAAGGGAAAATTAATTTTCAGCTATCGCAGAGAGACTTGTAACTGATGGGAGGATTATAGAAAAATATCGCCTCATTTTCTAGTTCTATTCTTTATCTCTGAAGGAAAATTGCGAAACGTCCACAGTTATTTCTAAATTGTCTACCTTTTTTTTTTAATAAAACGGACTGGGTACTGTTTATTTTAGCTGAAAGAGAAATTGCTAATAAAGGTCCTTTTATTTAATCACAAATGTAAATTGAGATAAACTCTAGCGTGTCCCTTGTACACAAAATATTGTGTCGTCCTTGTTATAATTTTCCGTAAAAATACATAATTAGTCTGCCCGTGTTTCTGTTGACTATACGCAAATTTGAAGTGTACGGGAAACAATTATAATATTTTACAGTCGCTTGTTAGACTTTATTATTATTCCTTAAGAGTTTAAATTTAAAACCCTTCAACAGTTTAAAACGCGATATATATTAAATATACATTACATATGTTTGAAAATTATTTACGACCCGACGTTTCGGATGCTTAGAAGTCGCGGTCACGGGGAGACTGCTGCTGCGAACTGTGAGACTGCTTACTCAATCCAAAGTAAGCATTGTCTGTAGGTTACTCGGGTTAAATAAAATACATTAAACGGATTAAAACGCAAGATATATATTAATTTAATTAATTTAAATCTAATTAAAATTATCTAATCTTAACGTATAAAAGTTTGAATGGCGAAAGTAGGGTAGTTTTTTCTATCACTATTGCCGTACAAAATGAACTAACTAGCTTTTAAGCTCCCTACAAGAAAAAAATCCAGTCTTCTTATAAAAAGGCAAATATTTAATCATATCCATGTATTATAACTTGTTCGACAACAAACATATTGATCATACAACTTACACTAATCGCTTACAAAGGTCAACCACACAGACGCTCCGTCCCGGGAATTCCAGATACATCTCAAGAATCAATTTAAGAGATAAATATAGGTCGTTATCGCATCCCCCCGGGTTTAGCGTAAAAAAGATGGACATATTATCTAAATGAGTTGAATGACGGCCCGAAATTATTCTTCGAGCTCATCCTCCAAATTGTATTTGCTATTTCAACCACTCAATCGAATTATGTGGCGAAAACCTTTGAATTACAGACAGAACCTAATTTGAATGAAATCGTTTTGACTTATTTTAAAGGGTCTTATTTTAATTTGGTAATGAATTCATGCTTTCTTGTTAGCAATTTTTTACCTACCACAATAATTATTGTCTGTAGTTTAGGCGAGTAGTAAACATTTATATCTTTTTAAACATATGTACAATTTATAAAGCATATTAAAACTCAAATGGTTTCTAACTGGAGCCGCGGAAAGACGCGGATGCCAATTCAAGGCCCGGCCGTGACGTAGATTTTTAAAATTTAAATTTTTGTTCAATATTTTATCTGGATATTAGGTATGTCTGTAGACTAATGAGTATATATTTAAATAAAACACTTTAACGGTTTAAAACGCGATATATTAGTTAAACTTATTTGAAAATGATTTTTAACTTCGGCCCGACGTTTCGGATGCTTTGCAGCAGCCGTGGTCACGGGGAGACCACGGCTATTTAAATGTGTACTACTCGCGTAAACTATAGACAGTATTTAATGAGTATATAAGTATTTCAGTCTATTCCGTTTGTAGGTTGGTGGTCACGACTTATTACATATTTTCTTTTTTTAAACAATAAACGATGACGAGTGTCAGTTTTCCATGCAATGTTTACTATTGTTTCAGATACCAACAAATGATTAGAAATGTTAAATTTGTCGCCGTCGAGCTACCGCAACGTTGAGGTCGACCGAAACGGCAACGTGATAAAGGTTTACGCGAGCAGACCCTGGTGGGACATTTACGATCCCAACGTTGGGAAAGAGAGGAAGGACGACCCGGATAACTTTGGTACTTATCACTTCAGTTAAGAGATTGAAAAAGACCACACGCGAGACTCAAACCTACCTATACTAGTGTATATAATAGAATTGAAAAATTCTAAGAGATCAGCTCGTTTAAGGAAATAGGGGTTTGAATTAACTATGGTCCAATTTAAAAAAAAAAATGCTCATACTTTCTCAATTTATCTCATATGAAAATCTCAAAGGTATAAAAGGTACTAATTGTATTTATATTAAAAACATAATATCGTATTATTTTGGATATAAGAAACAAAGAAATTATAATACTATTTTTCTACAAACTTTGCAGTATTGTTGAATATGTAATGTTGCATTAAAAATGGCCTCATGGGTTCGAGTCTCGACCTTGTAAACGAATACTGAATATAGGTTTAGTTTTTTACATGAATATTTTTTTTTACTGGAAAATGTTTTGATTGTAAGGTTTTGAAGCATATAACAGCGAGGTTGGTAATGATTATTTCGGTAATCTCGAAGAGGACCCGGTGACTGCGCTACAGGGTCCAGACCTGGAGCCAGCGTTGGAGCCATCAGCCAACCCCAGATACGAACAGGCCCCAACTAGTCCAGGCACTCTTGCGAATGTTGTAAATTTAAGAGGTAAGGTAATGAATTTATTATCTCGAAAAATTTAATATATAATAAGCTAGTGTTAATGCGCTGAAATAAATGAACTTACATTGCGCGAGATATATCAATAAGTTAAAAAAAAATCGACGATGATGTGTTGGGCACGATAGCCCAATTGGTTAAAGCAATAGCACGGAAATTACAAAGTTATAACGTTGGAAATCTGTTAACATGTAAAAAATAAAAAAGTTTACAAACATAATGTTTGTACTTCAATGATTTCTTAAGCTGCAAAGCATAAGACGTTGAACCTTAATACGCAAGTGTTAAGGTTGAAATTACATGGCGCGAGAGGTGCAAGTATCAATAAGTTGAAAAAAATAGACGATGATGTGTATGACTCGGTAGCTCAATCGGTAGAGCAACAGCACGGAACGCTGACGATGCTCGTTCGCGAGTCCTGCTCGAGACGATTTTTTTTTCAATTTATTTTCGATTTTTAAATTATACAGTGCCTTCATGTGTAACATGTAAAAAATAATAAAGTTTTCACAAATACGATAATTGGTAGTAGGGTCGACATTTTCACAGTGGCAAAAATTTAAGCGCCCGTTGTAGTAAAATGTGTTCGTTTCCCTGGTTCGTTTTCTTTACAAGCAAGAGATATAAGTTAGCTTAGTTATTGGTTATTTATAGTTTGTAACCTAGAACAGACAAGTCACCCACGACACAGACTTGCCCTAGTGTGGGGACTAGGGACTCTCTATCTGCACTATGTATATATTAGGAAACACTAAAAAATTTTGGATTTTTGATGTTGAAGTAGTTAATTAGACTTTTCAATAGATCAAAACGCGCAACTCAATGGTAGGAAACACGTTTATCCGCTTAGCTATAGAGGCAGTCCGAATTATTTCCGTATCTACCTATAAAAAAACTCAACACTTCGTAAGTTTTCTGAAGGTAAAGTCTCGTATCATATGTTTTTTCTAGTTATATTGTTTCAGATTATAAAGGAATACAGCCTAAGTGAATATTCAAATAACTTCGCGGCGTAACATAAAGAAATCAAGTTAGAAACGTCTTCGCACTCTGAACGAACTCAATCTAATTTGGTTTATTTTAGTCGTACAAATACGTGATACAGTGAATTTTAATGTACTTTTTCTTTTAAAACCGTCGCTGTAGGTATTTTTTTTAAGAGACAGACAATCACAACGTTCACTTGATGGATGGGTCACCCTAGCCATGTAACATCTAAACAAGATGTCCAGTCCATCTATTTTGGCTTCGGATATTTAATAATCCACGGATTGAAACTGTAACGCGTTTAAAGTTCATATCATCATCATCATCCGCCTTTTCATGTGTGAATCGTATTTCGTGACCTGGGTAGATTTTCGATATTCCTACCATCATATTTTGTTTCTAGATAATCATATACATAATAGGAACTAAATGAGCTGAGAATGAGTAACCGGATTATTTTTCAATCGATTACAATATTCATTTACACCACTTTGGTGTGTCATCAAATTCCATCATCGAATCTATTATTAGTGTTTCCTCAAACCTTATACGCCTTTTAGCAATATAAAAAAGCAGTGGATCTCTAATAATAAAATTTTGCCAATAATTATACTCTTTTTTTTAGGAAAAAAAATAATTCACGCGTACTTAAATTAGTATATATAATGAGTAAAATAATATATACCTATATTTAAAAATGGAATACCTGCTGACACTTAACTTACCTTTACGTCACCTACTTAAAACTTAACTTTCAAACACAAGAACTAAAAACTGTTACTTTATATAAGAATTATTACTGTCAAATTATAATCTTGTGTTCTAGTGTCTAGTGTTTTGTCTCGTATATGAAATTCAAATTTAAATTCAAAACCGACATTTTAGTGCAGATAATGTCATTTGTCTGCACTAAAATGTCTATTAGTCTTCCAACAAGCACTGCGTTTTATTATTATTACATATTATTGTATTAAAAAGAAAAACGATCTTATCTTTTTTAAAATTACTTTTTTTATTTTTTAAGCCATACAATACATGATTAAGTCAGCTTACTTACTTATCTTAATAGTAAAACATTTGAGCAGAATATTGTTGGAGAAATAAAATCGCCAAATTACAACTTCTTTTCGTAAAGGTACACAATTATCTACGATTATCCAAATAATATTTATCTGAACGACTCAAATGTTCGTAGAAACATCTCGGGCCAAGGAAAATAAATATCTGACAAGTGCCGTGAACCTCGCGGGCACAATTCCCAAATAGAAATAAACATTTGTACCAACCGTGCCAATATTTACTAGGCTACAAGGACTACACGTCGGATTAAACCGTACAATGTATATAAAGTATATATATATTTTATTTAGAAACAAACAAAACGTAACGTCACTTCATGACAGCCTAGGGATAGAAATTACATATAAAATTAAAGAAGAAGAAGAAGAAAATATAAAATTTAATGAATCAAGAAATAATTATTAAAGATGTGTAAGTCCAAAATACGTTTTACATCTATCGTTACTAATAAATAAAACTGAAGAGTTTATTTGTTTGTTTGAACGCGATAATTTCAGAAACTACGGGTCCGAAAAAATATTCTCTTCTAAGAATTTATCAGGAAACAAATACCCTTATAATACAACAAGATACATCGAGAAATGCGAAAAAATTTCATGTTATGGGTTTCAGGCGTACCGCTGCAGAAACGGTTCAAGATACAAAATATATTATTATAAGTAACGATTCCTCTTTAAAGATCTAAAAAAATCCAAAGTATATCTATCTTTTGAGTTTAACTTGCAAGAACACGGAAGGGACGGGACAGTCATGGTAAAATTAAGTTTTTAGATGAAGGAAAGGGGATCAAGGGGTTTGCAAAAACGAATTTGGATGCCCAAAATAACGATTCTCGCCGACGAAATCGCCGACGCAGCTAGTGTTTTTTATATAACCTAAAATTCCTACATAATAATTAAACGGAAGCTTAGAAATAAACTGAATTTTTAGAAATGAATCATGAAACTTAAATTCAATTTATAGCCCAATCAAATAAAAAAAATATTTAAAGAAAAATGCTATTATAAACACGTGTTGGGTTCATCAAAGTGCGGTTTGATGTTAGCTATAAAAATGTTGATGGCGTTGTCATATTTCCTGGTACATTACGACCTCTTATATTATGTAATAAGCAATAAAAGTTCTAGATGAGACCTATTGTTGTCCACGACAGGAATCGTCGGAAAAGTCAGGGGTTGACCCAAAAACCTCTCTACCAGGAAGAGATGGGTGAAAATAATGGTCAGCTGATGGTGTAGACTGATCGCTCCGGCCTGCTTGCTATGGGTGTCCCCGATAGAAAATAATAAACCCAAGGGGTCAAGGGTACATACTGTTGTGTCTGTTTTATTTAACGAGATTTCTCTACCTTGTCTAGTATTTTCTAGTTTCTATGCTTTTTTGGTTTCTCTAGTCGACATCGCCAGACACCATAGTCCTTGTTGTTACGAGAATATTATTACCATCCCTGTGTTTAAATAAAACACGTTTAACGATTTTAAACGGGAAATATATTATTTAACATATTTTAATTATTTCCACTACATGTCACTGGGACATTACTACTAACTTTTTGTCTAAAAAACACTTTAACGGCCTAAAACTGTCATATATATTAGGTAACTTTTGTAAATTTATCTTAACTACGGCTTGTCGTTTTTATTAGTTTTGCTATCTATATATACGTTTAAAATTGTCTTATTTCTATGTGTACTACTCGCATATTCTATGTTATTATCAACACCACGTAGGTCTTACGTTTTTTTATCAATATAATTAAAAACACGTTTGGCCTAAAAATCCTTATTATTCTACTTTTATTAAAATCTACTACAACAAATAGATAATTCCAAATTCGATTTGTGTTACCAATTTTCTGAGTTAAACGTGCGTTAATAATCTTGTAGTGAGTCAACAAATGTCGAAAAAAGATGTTTTTCCCAAATTGCCTACGTAATATCTCTTATACACATAATGGAGACATCTGTACAAACGACAGATTTCTTTCGCATCTTAACCAAGACCTGGGTTCAGATATTTGGAGGTCATTTGTACACGAAAAAGCTTTCTGCTTTCGGTAAAACATTTTCGTTTACCCCGCCTAACAGCTATAATAAACTTTTTAAATCTTGACACTGATTCTAAGAAATTCTTTCAGTGAAGAAAATTAATTTTCCAATTTCTAAGCGTTTGGTAATGTAAACGGTCTGTAGATTACACGAATAGTACACATTATATAAAACACTTTAACGGTTTAACACGCGATATATATTAGCTAAACTAAATTGAAAATAATTTGAACTACGGCCCGACGTTTTGGATATAATATGGTCACGGGGAGACTAAAGATGGAGGGTATCTCTGACGTCAATGTAAAAACTAGCGTAGCAGCCATCTGATCCGTCGAAGTTGGTATTTGGCGAAATAATATAAAAAAAGTTTTGTTTTAAACAGTTTTGTTACCAATCCTAAAATATATTATCTTCGTGTCTGGTAGCTTTGATACGGATCTTTATGATCCCTCATTTGTATGCAAAAGTTTTCTTTAACTTCGTCAAAAAACGTCATTTACATTGCTAAGCAGTGTCCTTTTTTATCTTTGTCCCTTTGATATTTAATATAAAGCAAGGATATTCCGACAGTGAATTCCTTCTTTGTGTATATATTTTGGAATCCATTTTATCTATATCTGTTAGTTCATACTATTTGAGAACAACACAAAAATTACTACGACATCAATAAACGACAGTCTTTTGCTTCTTCTTGCTGAATATTATACTATAAACTCTGTACTTATTCGTTTCATTTATTATTTGTTACACTCAATTATTTTTTATATTATTTTTTGCTTTGTTTGTGTTGTAAACTTAAACAAGTAACATAAAACAAAATAAATATGACTCGATCCAAAAAATCGTGTTCAAAAGATAAAAGAGGTTAAAAAAAATAAAAGATTATTATAAATATATATTTTTTATTTTAAAAAAGTGTTTTATTTAAATTGTACTACTCGGTAAATATAGACAGTATATAAAAGGGTTTTCAAATGTGTACCTAGTGCAAAATTTCAAATCAAATTTCCGAGTGAATTTTCTTAGTTTAAAATTTTAAAAATTAAATATATATTTTTTAAAATCTATTATAATAGCACAAAGAATAATTAATAATGGATCAGATACAAAATTGTGACTTTGTCAATAATAAAAAGGTGAAAAAGAATTCTTGAATAGTATATATAGATGTTATTCAACAAACAAATAATGAACGGTTTAAAACACGAAATTTATTAGTTCATTTATAAATCTATACTAATATTATAAATGCGAAAGTCACTTTGTCTGTCTGTCCAGATTTAACTCCGAAACTACTGAATGGTTTTAGTGAAATTTGGTACACAGATATTTTAGAGCCTGAGAAAGGCCATAGGTTAACAATGGCTATGCCAAAAGGGTTGATAGGGGTTGAAAAAGGGGATGAAAGTTTGTATGGAAATTCGTGGTTTTTGAAGCTAGAACAATGAAACTTTCTTCTTTGGCTTTTTGGGAATGGGAGTGGGAGTGGGAGTGAGTGTAGGAATGAGAGTGGGAGTTAGAGTAGGAGTGATGTGAGGATGTGAGGAGAGTGTTGCGGTAAAGTAGCTTACAACATAAATTGGCTGCCATAAATGCGCCCTTACATAAATTAATAAACAGCCTAAATAATTAAAAATTCTACCCCAAGTCACTAAACACACGAAGTTGCGGGCACAGCTAGTTCAATTATAAGTGACTGATCTATTTTTACTAACGAGAGATTTATAATAAAATCCCATCTGCAAAACATTATTATTACTTAAACAGCAAATCAAACAAGATAAGCAAACATTAAAGAAGTAACGGTTTTCCAGTAATTGTTTACTTAGCGTGGGTTGTATCTCATTATATTTATATAGCTGTTATTTTCAAATAAAAGTTGCTATAAAAATATACTGTTTCCAGCTAAGTTCGAGATTACTGTTACGCAGTAGTGCGTTCTACGTTTTCAATTAAAAAAGAAATTGAGCGTTGGGATGACGAGAAATATTATATAGAAAGTAAATGCATTTTCTATGTAATATTTAAAAGCAAATTTAGTGCCATATATACAAAAATGTAGTATACTAAGGACAGTGTTACTTACCTGATGTGATGTAGATGTTTTCTACTCCAAAGCTGTTGAAGAACAATAAAATATTCAACGTTTTGTCAAATGTATATATCTTTCAACTTCTTAAACCCACGTATAATTTCACAAATTCATACCTTGTTCGATGTCTCCACCATTCAAAATTTTAATATTATTTAAATGTTGTTTTTGTCTAATGGCGCGCCTTAAAATTGACCATGATTTAGTTACAGTATAATTAAAATCTAATTTTACATATAACACCAGTTAAACTTAGGCTTTTGTTTAGAATTATAAATATACGACATGCTTATGAAATAAATTTGATTGACAAGAGTTAAGCATTACGCGAATAGTATCCATTTAAATAAATCACTATTCAGGGTTTAAAACACGGCATAAATTAGTAATTTTTTTTTTAATTTCATTTACATTCGGCCTCCCGTTTTGGTGCAGCCTATATAGCAGCTGTGGTCGCGTTTAAAACAGTTATAGTGTTTTATTTTAAAGATCAAGCATTATTTGTGATCCTTTATAACATTATGATTTGAACATATTTAAATATTATTTGTGACTTAGCATTTTTTTCACAGAAGCAGTGCTTGTGGCTCTTGGTGGAGCGAGCGCAGCGGTCGTTCTTCTTCTCGTAATGGCGGGCGTCTTCTGTGCTCGACGACGCAAAAACAGCCCCTCCCCCGTACCTTCGCCCCCGATACTTGTCTACCCACCACATGACATCACAACACCATGCTACCTGTAGGTATCTTTTAGCTGCTTTAAGAGTTATTCCGGCTTAGAACGAGTAAATTCTTAATACAATACAATAAAGATAATACTTAAAGTTTATCAATGCAAGAAATCATTATCCTTTCACAATAATTGCATAAATTATTTATTAATTTGTTTGTATCAACGAAAATAAAACGCATTTTATTTTTGAAAACTTTTACATTTTTACAATATAATATTTTTGCGTATTAGATACACAATTATAATAGGTTACAAACTTATCTGGTCTTATCTAATTTCTATAATCTATATGTATATTTGCTTTCTTAAAACTGAAGAATACGCCGTTTAACGCGGGTTTGAATCCCGCCTGCCATACAGTTAAACCTACTCATCTACACTTTTAATTATGACCTTGTAATACGTATAGATTTGTGTATGCATAGATAGATTTTTGGAGAAGTTTATAGTAGTAATGCTAACTATTTCAAAATGTATTACTTTGGTTTTCATTGCTGTCATCAATTATAAAGAACGTCTTAAAGCCTAAAATAACACTAGAAGATATTTTTATAGTATTCTTCGAGGTAAAAGATTTATTTACGCGTGGCGCCGCTCAAATCACCTGTTTCTATGTCGCGATAATTAATCACGATCATGTTGAGCGTAACAATTCAGGTCGACATTATTTTATCTAACAAAGTTTGATAGTTGAATAACGGTGGATCATTAATTAAGCTCTACTCTAAGTACTTGTCATTAATTGTTGTCGTTAATTCTCATTTTGGTTATCTATAAATGACAAAAATATAGAAATTTCCATTTGAAGACATTTTTTTTTTTTTTTTTACTTAACTTTTGTACTAGAAGATTCTATTTGTCTATACATGTTAAAGTTAAGTACATGCTTTTGTGCTTAGCTTATTATCATATTTTTTACCGAGTTTCAAACCTTGAACACAACACCCGTCGAGACATATGGGACGCTTCGATCAAATATTTTAATATAAAGGCGGTCTTTGATTGTAAAAATTCGACAAAGCTAAAAATTCAAAACTTAATTATTTTTCATACGCACAATATGATGACATCATTAATTTATGCAAAAATTCAATATCTATTTACTTTAAAAAAAACGACAAGAGCGGGATTCGAACCGGAGGCCATGGTCGAAGATAGACAAGGTAGCTAAATTAGTTAAAGAACTATGCAACGCCGTGAATACCGGATCGAGTCCCACCCGTGTCGTATTTAAAAAAAATCTAAACAGATTATTAATTTATATAAAGCAAAGAATTATCTAATCAACTGAAGTATGTTAGCTCTTTGAGTTTCATAATGGAGGTATTTAATTCCCCCCTATGCCATTGGGACGCGTAATAATCGAGGCAATCACGTGACAGGACGAAGGAAGTTAACTTTTCCCTACCGACCCTACGCTCCTCGTCGCTCGGGGAGCTTCGTGACGTCAGCGTGTCGAGCCTTAATAGTGACGTGTTGTGCCCCCCAGTGCCTACGCAGTACCGATCCAACTCCTTCAGTAAGTATTTTATATAATTACGTAATGTAAGCTTAACGTTATACGTTATGTACCTTTTCATGTACTGCATTTGTAGATCTATGGTAGCGATGCATGGCTAATATTATCAAAGGGTCGTGGTTCGATTCCCATCATCATCAGGTCCAACATATTTCTAAAACTAATAATTTCACGAAGATATGGCAAACTGTGTCTGGAAAATCTGCATATTAAATAGATGGTGGGTATATAGAAATTCTAAATAAAATTTCTATCGATGGATTTGTGCACATCAAATGTAACAATAAGTCGACATCGCATCTTGTTAGATATAATATAGCGGGTACATTTCTCAAGTAATCCCTATTTTGTCGTGCTACTTGTATATCTTTGAAAATTGCATTGCCTAGCATTTAGTTAGCGTGTGAAGTTCAAAGTTCGAATCCCGGAAAAACAATTTTAAGGTCAGGTTACACTACAGTCTGGTTACTGTCCTGTAAAGATCGGTGAAACTGACGAAATAATGTACTTGAGCAACATAGAGAAACGAGATTTTACCCATTTTTTAATTAATAAAGAGCTTGAGGATTAACTTTTCACGAGTATTTTGTTTGACTCGAGTACTGATTTACTACATCTTTAATTAGGCCTGTTTGAGGTCAAGTTACGAATTCAAAGTTTTTTTTACCGGAGAAAAAATAAATACAGAAATGTTTACACATAGTATGACATATATAATTAATGATTTTAAATTGCTTGTCTTGTAATAAAATCAAAAGGTACGAATTTTTATGAAATTATGACTCGTACTTACTCAAATAACTAACGCGTCTTGGATTCGATCTCCACCGGTTTAAACATGTGTCTGATCAATTTATCTATATCGATGTGGTAGGAATACGGAATCTATCCCGATCACGAACTACAGTCCACAGTCTGCTAAATAAATATTTCCCGTTTTAAACCGTCAATAGTGTTTTACACGTGTATTAGTTGCGTAAACACAGACAATAGTATTAGTAATGGTAACATAAATTACTAACGACTTACATGTTTCACTTTTGAGCACTTTTTTTAAAGCTGCGTACTTTTTTTAATTACCACGTTTAAATATACCCTCTTTGAAACGATACCAGATTACAATGCGTCCACAAAATACAGTTCAGAAACCACACCAGTTTATTTACTGAATTGCTTTTCCGCTTCTTAATTACTAACTTTCCGCTGGCTATATGTTTTCAATGGTTACCAAACAAATTTTATCAGAAGCCCAATTTCAATTAAGTATTTCAATTAACTTGTAAATTACTTTTAGCTTAAAATTAACTCATTGTTACAAGTTTAAAATCGAGTTAATTACTAACATAATAATAGCTACATTTACATACTAGCTGTGTCAGCGACTGCGTCCGCGTAGTTTAGTTATTTTGGGCAGCCAAATTTGTCTTTTTTCAATCCTATAAATTTAAGCTGCCCACGACATCCCCGTCCCGTCGCTCACTGAAAATTAATCTTAAAACATATAGTGTCACAGACATTTTTTGAGTGTCACAGATTTTTTAGACCATTTAAAGAGGAATAATTCTTTCATATACATTTTTTGGGTGTATTAAATCGTTGTCTCAGCGTACGCATCAGAAACCCACAGAGATGAAAAATTTTCCCCGTTTTGTTCACTTTTCCCGCTGAATCTTCGCTTCTATAAGTCGCAGCGCGATGTTTATAGCCTTCCTAGATAAATGCTCTAACCAACACACAATTAACTAATTCGAACTGGTACTTCCTCGGATTAGCGCATTCAAACAAACAGACTCTTCAGCTTTATATATTAGTATAGATAGATATTTATTTTTGTACAAATATAACTACGAGTGTAATTTGTTAAATATACTTGTATATGAACTTATTTGACTTATGTTAACTGCCGCCCGAAATTTGTGTCGGATATTCTTTACTTGTTTGAACCGTGACCACGGCCGCATCAAAGCACCCGAAACCTCTGGACATAGTTTAAAATAAATAATTAAGTTAACATATATACTTCGTGTTTAAAAGCGTTAAAGTGTTTTATTTAAATGTGTCCTATTCGTGGAAGCAACAAACAGTAGAAATGTATTGCTTTTGTGCTTCGAAGAGTCATCGGTGCTAATTGTCGTCACAAATTTCGCGTCGATAGTCGTCGAAGCCCATCAACTTGTCCTGGAACAGTGTAGTGGGTCTATGCTCATAAAACGCTTCTTGTCTTATGTTATTACTAATCAAGTGGCATCTACTTTAAATACGTTTAGTCGGGGTTCAATCTTGTCTTGCATAAAATGTTTCATTGTAAGTGCTTTCAGGTAAAGACAAGCAGCTGCCCACGATCTATGAATATAATGTTATTTACCTTAGGAGACTAAGACTAACTGGGTCGCTACGCTAATAGGGTAAATAAAACATTGTTATGTCCTAGGATAACGCCAGTTCAGGTGATATATTTAATCAAATGAGACAAACAAAGCAAAAACATTTTACATTACAATAATCCTTATTAACCCTATTTGCAGTACTTAGAATTAATTAATATTAAATTCTAAATTCGTTCGTGTTAATTCAAATACGGTGTACTTCATTAACAATTCTATTATGAAAACATTAAATGTGAATATTTTTCGCTTTGATATACATCGCAACATACTTGCACGCTAGGAACGAATATAGAACAAGTAATGCTCAAAACCTGTTTTTTTTAAACAGGAGAATTTTTAAATTCCTTCGTTTTTTAGATAAATTAAAATAAAAACTTAGAGCCAAATCTTATTGATGTGATTGACGCTTGCCTATCGAGGCAGCAGTTGTGGGAATACCTGGTTTTTAACTGCTCGAAACATAATATTTTTAGCTAAATTAGCAGAAAGACTGTCGATTTTTGAAACAGACGAAATGACTTATCTATGCTAATATTATAAAGCTGAAGAGTTTGTTTGTTTGTTTGTTTAAGAAATTACTAATTCGAATCGTTAAATTATGACGGACATTTATCGGGGAAGACTTTAGGCTAGAGAACATTACGGAAAATTAGAAAATGATAATAATAAAAATAAAACTCCTTATATATCTCTTAGAGTAGAACATGGGCACTTAAAATGAATAAAATGTGTAATAAACGGGGAAAATATTTCTTTATCTTTGAGGGCTTTCGTTGCGTGTCGTGCAAAAACGTTTTCAAGAAATCAAAAATATGTATGAATAATTCCTCTTTAGATAATCTAAAAATGTGTTAGCGACAAAATATAATCTATCTTAAAGTTTACACGCACGAATCGTTTTATGTTAATCAAATAATAATAATAGCATCAGAATATTGCAAACAACAAAATGTTTGGCGGATTAGCTAGTGCCCCTATATAGAGGAAACAGTATTTCTTACACACAACTCGTTCTAAAAGCCTTATATTTTATTTAAGTTGAGGACATACAATTTATCACCGTTAACAAAAAAGCTTCCTTTATGCAATAAGTGATATACACCG